AAATAAAAGAAATAAACTAAATAATATATATAAACTAAATATAATATAAAATATATATGCTTCAAATCACATAAATGTTATATGTTTGATATGTATAACATTTCGCGCAGTAATCATCAACCAATCAGATCGCAGCTTTCTTATTAATTTAGTTATCAGATTCGATCTTGTGATCCTGTGATCGGAAATGGATGATCTATACCTCATTAGAACTGTCTCAGCGAGCTGATTCGAATGGTAGTGGTTTCATCGAATTCTGTCCAGTAGCTCAAGAGTTATGGTCGTTTTTGTAGGTTAACAGTACCATGAGAAGGCCTAGTAAACTATATAACTTAAAAGTTGGTGATTTGAAGATGCTAGAAGGAATTTGCTGGGTCAGAATTAATAGATCAAAAACTAATCAATTTGCAAAGGGAAAATTTATCCCAATTGACCTTACAAACTCAAGATACTGCCCAATTAAACTAGTATTTGATTACTTAGCTTCAAGAAGAAAAGTAAAAAGAAATGATTGGTTATTCATAAATGTAGCTGGAAACTGTATGACAACTGGAGCAGTGAACTCAATAGTAAAGAAAATAGCACTTAATGCAGGATTAGAAAGAAGATATTTAGGCCATAGTATTCATATTGGTAGCACCACAGGTGCAATAAAAGCTGGGCTAACATTACCACAAATTATGAGTATCGGAGGGTGACTATCCTAATCTGTAGCACTCTACCTTAGGTCGCTTTCAACTGTGTTACAGAATACTTCTATAAGGATGAGATTTTAGTATTAGTAAATTAACCTCAGTTCCGATTCTCTTTTTGTCTCCCATAATGTTATTCCATATATAAGATTTTAATAAAGTAATCCGAGTGAGAATAATGACATGTGAGCTGATGTAGTCAACATTAGTGTTATTATTGTGAGGATCATCCTAATCAAAGACACATGACAAAATAAAGAATTGTATGAATTTAGTAAATAAGGGATGATTGAAATGAGAGTTTAAAGAAACTAGAATGGGAGAATTTAATGAAGCAGAAATAAGCAATGGTCAGAAGTGCTTGTTTCTTTTGCTGCCTGATTATAATTATCTGGCTTTATCATTTTAGTCCCTGCCCTTCCCCCCAAATAAACTTACAAATAGCCCTTAAGCAGGTATTAATAATAATAAGTTAATAATGATATATTGCTACGCCAAAGCATAAGCACCTTATCACTGCGGTGAATCTTGCATTTGCCCTGTTCTCATAATCTATTACCAGCTATCATTAACATATTTTATTTAAGAGGTCACTACACCAAGTGTGAGCACCTCACCACTGCGGTGAATCTTGCATTTGCCCAGTTCTCATAATTTTTATCAGTTATCATTAGTACATATTTAGGTCACTACACCTAAGCGTGGGCACCATATTATTGCGGTAAGTCTTTACACCTAGCCATTTAAATTCATGAAATACATATATAGATGCTTTCCCTTGTTTATGTTTATTACACCACGACTATGTATACATATATCCGATACTCCCTATGTTTTCGTCACGTGACTTGCAGCGAGCGCACTACTCCCATAATGTTATTCCATATATAAGGTTTTAATAAAGTAATCCGAGCGAGAATAATATCAAAACAATTTGTTGATTGCAGCATTAGATTAATCAATTTTTTTGGTAATGACTGAAAAGAAGAAATGTCTATGCAATTATTTAATAAGAATAATTCCATTTCACTTTTTTGCGACATTATCAATTTTATTTGACATTTTTCAATATTTATTTTGATTTTGGAATCAGAATTAAATATTTAAATCTGCTAATGATTCTTCGTATTTGTACATCATGCAATAAGCTTTCCCACGGTTTGCCAATGAAATTGCGTCATTTGGATTAATTTTTAATAATTTGTTTAAATCTACCAATGATTCCTCATATCTATTCATTATTCGATAAATTTCTTCACGACTTGCTAATCCAAATGCATTATTTGGATCAATTTTTAATAATTGATTTAAATCTGCTAGTGATTCTTCGTATCTGTTCATCATGCGATAAGTTGCTCCACGATAACTTAATGCTTTTGCATCATTTGGATTAATTTCTAATGATTTATTTAAATCGGCTAATGATTCGCTATATCTGTCTAATTTATAATGTTCAATTCCACGATTTCTTAATGCTTCTGCATTATTTGGTTCAATTTCTAATGACTTATTTAATTTTGAAAACTGATCCTCCTTGTTCTTACCCATAGTAATATAATTTTCCGATTTGAAATTTGTATAATCTTGACTAACGACATGAGATTGATTAAATCGTCGTTCTGTAAAGGTAAATTATTTGTTATTAATAAAAAATAATGGTTATTAATTAAATCCTAATAATTAATTAAAAATAATGAACCTATTAAATTCATATCTTGAATGCTATCATCAGCATCATCTAGTTTAGATGAATCAAATTCTGCATCATTACTCGAAACACCTATATTAATATCTTTTTCATTGTGATAAACTGGAACCTTTCGTATATTTTTTAATTTATCACGGATTTCGGTTATACTAGGACGTAAATTTGGATCACCATTCCAAGCATCACAATAAATATTCATAAAGTCAACCGGAGTTCCGTTAACAGGAGTTTCTCTTTTACCCATAATTACTTGTAAAGTTATCTCTTCTGGATTGGATATATCGTTAAAAGGAGATACACCACTCGATAATTCCCAAAAAAGTACGCCAAGACTATAGACATCAGAAGCTTTATCTCGTTTATATAAAAATGGATTTAGGAGGAATTGTGGATCGGAAAATGCATACATTCCCCCAACAATAGATTTTGTGCTATCGTCTAATGATTTAGATAATCCAAAATCCGTAATCATTAATCTACCATCGTGCACTAATATATTCCTATCATGCTATAACAGATAGAAATATTAAAGAATATAATAAGAAGGGAGAAATAAATTAAGTAGAAAAGGTATCTTACAAGATCACGATGAACAATATTTGCATTATGTAAACAATTAACACCACTAGAAATCTCCTTTGCCATTCTGATTTTAGTTGACCAATCTAATTCTGAGAAATGATCACGTAAATAGGAGCGAAGGTCACCATTATTAGCGAATTGAAGAACCATGTAATATGCTTCTTTTTTCGGATCTAATTTACTCGAAATAATTAGTTAGCCGATAGAGTCGATTTTATAAGATATAAAATTAATATACCTTGAGTGATTCCAAAAAATTGTACTATATTATCATGATATGCAACTCTAGTAATATTTTTTAGCTTATAGTGTATTATAAACCGGTAAATACACAAATAAAGACGTTAATAAGAACATAATGAAAAAAATAGAAGATATTATATAAAATACTTCATTAATAAATCTATCCAACGAAATATCATTATCGCAATATAAATTCTTTAAAGCTATATGTTTTTCAATATCTCTTGAATAAGCTCTATATATAGTACTCGATCCTCCTCTGCCTATTTCTGCCCAATTCTGAAAAGAATCATACTCAAATGACGTGATGTCAATAACAGCTTTAAACCAATTTGACATGTTTAGTAATTTGACATGTTTAGTATACCGCGTATTAATTCTTTATGACCTCGAAGGGCTAAAATATGGGCATATAGTAAATTAATACGATAAATTAGGAAAGAAAATTATTAAAATAAGCTATTTACCTATATATTTCAAACCTGAACAAAAAGGAATTATATTGGTATTCTAATCATAAAAAATGTAACATTTAACGTTGTGAACTCAGTAATACAAATTCCTAATTGGTTCTGCCGATCATTCCATGCGTAGCGTTAAGATTTGATTAAAATATAAGACTTTCAAAAAGAGAAAACTATGTGAATTTTTATGTATACAAAATGTACTCTGGCTTTTGAGTTTATAATTAAAGTCTATACATGAAGAAATTATTTCAGCTAGTGCTCTGAAACAGTCAGAAAACCCCGGGTAACTCGAACTTTATTACAGATTGCTTGGGACATCTTGTAAAAAATCGACCGAATGATTATTTGCCAATTCAAAAAATTTTTGACTTCAGCAGCAATGAACTTTTGATTTGGGTGTGAATAGTAATATATCGATAGTTATACATATCGATATTTTTTTGCAATTGTATTCTGAACGATACTACATTGTCAACGCATCTAAAATTAAGTTTTCGCTTAATTGCATGTCCAGTATGCTTGTGTGTGGTTAGTAAGCACGAAAATTTATGACGAAGGTTGTTCTTGTCAACCAACAGATCTTAACAAAAAGGTTGCGAATATAAGACAAGCTTTCATAACAAATAATAAAAAAAAAGTTCAATATGAACAAGAATTGATTACTGGTTTAAGAATATATATAATACAAGTTATTGTTCCAAACAACAGAAGATTTTCTTAATATTTGTCAAAACTGTGTTAAGAATTATAGTCAACGAAATCATAGTAAACTTTTTTTACATTTTATTCAAAAGTTTTCATATACAGTATAATGATTATTACAACATATAAGTTTAAAGGAAATCATTCAAGTCTTCAAATATCGAGAAACAAATATATTTAGATTTAATATACATAAAATATGCAAATAACTGTTATATTACCATAACTTTAAGATAGTGGATACTATTTTAAAATTATATGTAAATATTTTTTGTAATATAAATTATAGAACTTTTTATTAATTAAATCTATTTTAGCTTCTAAGCAAATTTTATAGTAGGTTTTTGTGATTCTAACAGTAATAATTTTATTAAAATTAGTTAAAATCTCATTAAGTTGTTAAAATTTAAAGATCAGGTATAATTATTTTTAGAATATAAATTTTTAACTCTTCCTGATGATTACTTGTATTAAAATTTTGTTAAAGAATTTTAATTTGCTTTAACAATTTATAATTAAATATATTTTTAAAAACTAGATAAAACTGTTCCTTATTCAAATTTATATTTACTTATAAAATTTTATATTACTAACTTAAATATTAAATAAACTAATTAATTTTTTGTTAAAATATTTTCAAATTACTTATACTTAAATCTAGTTTAAGAAACTTGTCTTATTTTTAAAATAAAATTATCTAACTTATTTTAGATTCTATTTTAATATAAGTTTTATTAAAATAGTCAAAAATTGATTATTTTATAAGCAAAAAACTTTAAACATTTATTATTTTTAAATTTTTTTAAAATTTTGTTCTTTCTCTTTCTTTTCTTCAAATTCAGACCTTAAACATATTTTAAAATACTTAATTTTATTTTTTTTTGGTATTAAGGTGATCTTTTTGGTTTTTAATTTTATTAATACTTTTTGAATAAAATAATTTTATAAGGAAGAGTGTATAACTGGTTATATATATAACTTTTCTATATTATCTATTTAAGAATTCACTTAAGAGTTTTCTACCAGTTATTATATCTAATATCTTTGTTTAGGTGTTCTGTTTAAATCCTCTAAACTTATAATTGTATTAACTTTACCAAGTCATAATCAGATCCTTATCTCAATCTTAGAACTAATTTATCCTTGATGTAAATATAAACTTTTTGGAATCTTCTGTATTCTCATTTACAGCTAACTCAGAACTTAATTTTAATAGTTTACTCAATTAGTAATCTTTTTATAATAATTTCCTTTTATATTCTTAATTAATTAACACAAAACAAATAATTATAAATTTGTATACATTTTAAAATTATACAATCTTGTATATATTTTATATTATTTTTAACAGAATTACACAAAACATATACTGTACTACAAGTCACATCAGCTGCAAACCACACTAATTGCAATCATACCAAATACAAAAATTAATACAGAGAGTATAATGTTATATAACAAATTTTACTTTCTTTTATAACTATTATTAATCTTTTTAATATTATTATAACTACTCTTTAAATAAGTAATTTATATATGTTATATAAATATTGCTTTACAAATTTATTAGTAATTAATTTAAAATTTAGATCTTAAATAAATTTATAAGAAGACTTTGTATAATTAACTGTTTAAATCAATTTAATTTTACATTATTTATATAGTTTAAAGTATTTTTTTAAAAAAATAAATCGATGATGCCATTGGACTGATGGAAGCCTATGAAACACCTTCATAGGAACTATCGAATAAACCAGATGACAAAGATGTATAGAGGAGCACATGACCAACCAGGCTGCCAGAATCACCAGAGGAAAAGGATATATAAGTATACCATATTGGGTTCATAGGTTATTTCAGGTTCTGGTTCAGGGCTATAAATAGGAGGAGATGTTGAAGCACAGTCAGCACAACATCCATCATTTTGGTCTAATTCATCCTGATGCTTAACATATAAGCACTCTTTACAAAGGTCAACAGGAACTTCAAAACTACGACGCAAATTAGCCAAAGCAAGTTCTTTGCAAAAGTCTAGGTAACTAATATCAAAAGAAGTAGCAAGGATGTCTTGAAATTCTTCTTCTTCATCATCTGCTAGAGTTCCTTGTTCAGAACGTAGAATTAAGCTTATTTCTTTATAGCTCCAAGGCTGATTAATGCAGTCAGTAGCAAGAGGTTCTAGAGCTTCAGTGAGGTCTTAGTCACTTTCTTGTAAATAAATTTTAGCAAGATGAAAGATACATGTCTGGTTCATTTCATACTAATGTCCAGCATTCCTAGTTGATTCAGTATAATGTTTGATTCTAGTTCACAGGTTATAATTAGGGTTATAAAGAATATCATGACTAACTTTGTGTACGTATACATGTTCAAGACTACAGAACCAAAGTTCTTCTGTAATACTTTCTATATTATGCATTCTGGATCTTGCATCCTGGTGTTGGCAGACTTTACAAGTAACTAGCATTCCACATCCTAGACCTTGGTTATAGAAGTTAATACTTCTAAGGTTATTCTGATCAAGGTTATAATGGTAATCCATGTAATATCTATGGCAAACTAGTTGTCTGTCAATGATATGTAAGTCATCAGATCTTTCAGAGTTCTTGCAGTTGCAGCAGTGATGTGTACGTCTGTTACTATGATAGTAGACTTGATAAGTTTCAACTTCTGTTCTGTCACATCCACATTGATAGGTCTGGTTTTGTCGTTTTAGTGAAACCATTGGGCAGTCTATTTCAATGTAACCTAATTCTTGGCATCCATGGCATTGGTTCTGAGGGCATTGTCTATAGAGAT